CCTCCTTCACCTTGTTGACTTTCAGTAGACCTTGGCAGAAGGCACTCTTAAAATAATTTCTAAACACACCTCAGGTTGGTCAGAGCTGCTAACAAACTCACTAAGTTATCAGAGACGGTAGGTGAAAATCGGTGTCTATGATTGCCTAGAGAACGTGTGTGATATTTAAACTCAAATGTGAAAAACCTGCCGCGCACTTAAACGTAAGTAACCCCTCTTGTATTGTGGAAGTGGAAAGCGTTAACGTCCTGGGGATAGGCTCGGAAAATTCGGGAATTTTAAGCAGTGTGGTATCTGGATACCCCTAGAGTGTTTAAAAATAGTACGCTCGAAAGTCCACAACGTCAACGATTCTGTGTTATCTGAAGGTGGTTCTAGCAATTAGACCAACCATTCAAACTGCGTTTGTGCTGAACCGGTGAAGCTTCCTATTCTCTTAATGCCAGGAAGTAATCTATCATCTTCGAAACCGCGAGGAAGTGCAAAAGATAAGATACAGTTGTAGGTCACATCCGCGATGTTTGCACGTGTTCGCTTCAAGAGTCACCAATGGGCTTCTTTAATCTTCAAATGCTGTCCGGTGGCTGGAACCCCTCCCCCTGGTAAGTCCACACCTGTCCGATATTGCTCCCGACCAGGTTGTGTTCGGAGATCGCCTATAGCTGTACTCTCTTACACTGCAAGATCGGTTCACCAGAGAGTTCTTTTCACTGAAGACATGCTTTTGTTCTGTTTGGCTCCACCGCAAGATGTCTGCCACCTTCATCCCCTTCCTCGCGTTTTATAAGTGGCGAACTTGGGGTACCGTTTCTTTTCTGATTACGCTTTCCTGCAGCGACGGACCACTTGATCCGACGTGTTTCAAGAAGCGCCATGTCTTTCGGCAGTGTGCGGCAGATGCCCTGGATCCACACGACACGCGTTATTCGGATTGCGCGCCGATGACCAATGCCAAACATAGGCGGAGGGGGTGGCACACATAGGGACGGTTTCGGCCGCGCCAGCCACCTGCGCCCGATCCCGCCTCCGGTCTTCTTGGCTATGTCTTGACATCGGGCTTCGGTTGGTGAGGGAAAAGAGAGTGTGGTAGATGTCGCACAAGTTACCGCCCCTGCATCACTGCGTTGAGGAGCATACGGTGCACATAGTCGAAATCGACGGTCGAACTGTCGTGTCTTTC